TGTGCTCACCCCTTGAAAATGCTCAAGTGTTTTCACCTATCAGAAGCTGTCAAGCGTTTTTAAGGGAGTTCAGAATAAGTACTGGTGGCAAAATCTTTTATTCATAACAGTCATTATGCAAATTACATGATGCCTGTCCTTTCTCAGTGTGATCTGTGTGCGTTTATTTAAGATGGTGTTAAGAGCTGAATGAAAAACCAGGCACTCCAAAGAGACTGAATTATTATTTCAAGGAAGACAGTGAAAGCTACTAAGAAGTAGGTGTGGGGCAAACAAACAGATAGAAATCCAAGACTTCCAAAACTCCTAACAATTTTTTTAAAGTCTGACTTGTGATATCCAGTAAGGCAGAGTATGGGTACCCAAGTTGGACAGCCAGAACCTGACAAAAATCAGTAGTTATGGTCCCAGTCCATGATTATATATCAATCCTCTGTGCACTGTATAGAGCCCTATAACCTTGGGGGCCCTAGGACTGAAGTAATCCACATCCCAGAAGGACATTGTGGTCCTCCAGGACCCTGGATTCTCCTTTCTCGAGAGCCTCAGTTGTCCAAAATTCATAGCCTGGCTCCTGCCCTACTTTTGGGCGGCAGAAACAGCAGTGAAATCAGGAGCACTGCACTCTGTCCTTGTTGGGGGGTTTTTTGGTGGTGTTTCAGATGCCCCCCTCTGCAGCCAGAGCGACCAGGAGGAGCGTGGCAACCTGGGGCTGTCACAGTGGGGAAAGGGAGGTGGGGGCAGCCCAGAGCCCCTCCCACCTGAGCTTGGGGTGCTTTGACCCACAGCAAACACAAGTTCCCAGCCACTCCAAATTAAGCAATTAGTGGACAATCTTGTGAGTAAGATTTCCAAATATATTGGAAAACCTGCTGATTTCCAAGCCACATGGGAAGATTCAGATTCAGCCTTTTCCCCCTCTATTTTTGCATCTCTGAGCAGTCTTTCATCCTGAAGGCATCCCACAGGGGTGGCAGAGCCTCTCCCAGCATGGTTTGTAGTGCAGGGAGATGCTGTCCAGACCAAACGAGTGCCAACTGATGAACAGGAGCAGAGCAATGACTGAGCAAGAGCCTGGGACTCAGCACTGCCAAACACAAGGCATGCAGTAATATTTTCCAGATAACATTTCATTTCCCCCCCCCACCTCCTTTTCACTTACAGTTCTTATTTAGGCTTTCGGCTCTCTGGTGTTACGTTCCAATGTATACGAGTATCTCATCTGAGACGCAAACACTGCCTGGCTGTGCTAATCTGGCGTGCAGCAGAGCAGAAACCTCCTGCGATGTCCTGCATGGTTACACAGCACTGGTTGCGGGTGTTGGAGCCCCAAAAGGTGGGTTTCGGCACCTCCACACCCCGGGCGAGCGCAGACCTGGGGCTCAAGGGTACAGGGTCCACGCCTGGGGCAGGGACCAGCCCAGCCCATCTCCTGTGTCCCTGTACCTGCTGGCCCGTGGTCAGATGGGGAGAACCAGAAGTGCTACCACTTTCACTGGTCATTTTTTTTGAACCCTTTCGCTTACTGATTTCTCTGCTCTTTTTTCAAAAAGGACCCACTGAACGAACACAAAATAAATGAATAGTTTACATTCCCATATGGTCTGTTTTTTAAAAAAAAATTGGGTTTTCACAGGAAAAAGAAAGTACAGAGCTCTGGAACTGTCAAGGAGGTGAATGAACCACAGTTCACACTGTAGCTTTGCTGAAATGCTTTCTCTCTCATGCAGTGAAACTCATTCACCAACTTGTGTGTTTGCTGTCTTGAGTAACAGCGCATGGGGAGCACGCTGTTCGCCTTGCTCGAGCAAGTTGTTTCTTTAAGTCAGTAAAAGAGTCCTTCAACAAATTATGATGGTTTTAAGTTAGAAGATTTCACACATCTCGAAACGATGGCAGTAGATTTTACTTCCCTCCAACTTATAAGTGCATTGATAGTGCATGTCATGGTTATACTCCTCTTTGGCAAATAAAATCTGTCGCTCTGGCAGTCACCGTGAGATCCCACGTAGTTCCCAAAGAGATGGGAGGGTTGTGTTGTGGGTTTGGTTTTCACTTTTGGCTAATTAGGACCAGTTGCTTTAGTTCTTATGAGACTGTTGGAAATGGCTGCTTTACCAGGGCAGTGCTGCGTGGTTTGGACGTATGCTCCACTTACAAATTAAATGTCTTGGTTCTGGTATTGTTAAAATAAGAAGTGAAACAAACAAACAAACAAACAAAAACCTCACCAAAAAACCCAGCTTTGAATTTCATGCCAGGTACTCAACACAGTGTTCATTCTGTGTGTCGTTATATTGTGGCTTGAGTAATAGCAGCCTGCTCTGTGCTTAATAGTTTTGCTGGCCTGGTTGGGATGTGCTTTCCCCCCCCATCCCGCAGTGATCCTGGTGTGCTGGCAGATCTTGCCTGGGGAGACGCACTGGCACCAGATTCCTTCTGCCTGTGTAACCTCCTGTGTTTGGGAAACTGCTTTGAGCTGCGAGGGATGGAGCCCAAGATGCGGACCCACTGAAGTGTATTAAAGTCCATAGATACGAGAGAAAGAGGTCGTGTTGTGTTTGCAGGACAGTTTCACGAGAAAGACTGCTGGTTTGGGGTTTTGGGTTTGCTTTTTCACCAGTGCTGCTTTCTTGTGTTACAGCGGCACTTTGGAGAGCAGGTGAATGTCAGTCCCCTCGTTCTCCGGACTCTTGGCTCCTTTTCTGCTGCCTGCAGCTCTATCCCATACATCTCATGCTCTGCTTATGAGTGAAAACCTAAATCAAGCTCCGGAGCAGAGCATCAGCAGCCCTGACCACCTGTGCTGAGCAGAGGCAGGCTCAGAGCTCACTGAGGGGTTGGGTTTGGGCCATTAATGTGCCAGTCCCCTGAAACAGTTGTGTGTCACCCTTTTGGGGTCTGTCTCCCCTCTTTTTATTTTTCCTACTGCATTCAGCCTGTAGCCGAACCCTAACACTGAACCCTGTGCTTCCCCCGGGGCACTGGCATCGAGCTCCCTCCTTGCCACCTTCTGAGATGGCGATAATCTCCTTTATTCGTGCAACAGCGTCAGTAACCTTTAGGCTATTTATAAGATGTGATCATGCCCCTCCCGAGATGCTTGCAAGATAAATTTAGCTCCCTTAGCATCTCACCGCCAGTCCTTACGCTGCCTTTCCTCGTACGAGCTAATGAGAGCCGGCCCCGTGCAGAGCTGCGGCGAGGGGTGACTCACTTTCTATGCTCGTCCGGGGCAGACTTCATCGCGAATGAATCTCATTCGCTCGCTCAGCCTGGGGAGCCAGTCCAAGTATCCGTTTCCGAAAGGCAGCCAGCAAGGGAGTGGTGGGGGATTAGGCAGAGGAGCGCAGAAAAAGCCCGTGGAGGAATGCTGCGGTGGGACGCGTGTTCGGCGCCCAGGACCTGTGTGGATGGGGGGAAAAGGGGGCTGTGGCAGGAGGGGAAGGGGGCTTTGGCAGGAGAGGCCAGGGGTGCTTTGAGGCCAGGGCCCTGCAGTCCTCTCCCTCCTCTGCTGCCAGAGCCTTGCAGGGTGTGGGCATCCCAGCTGAGCCTTTCTTCCTCCTCTCCTGGTTGAAATGCCAGCTTTTCCCAGGTTATTCGGGGTGATGGTGTTCAAATGAGCATTTTCAGGTGTTCCCTGCTCCTCATGGGTGTTTAGAAACTAAGGAGTCTTGCTCCCAAGGCTGGTTGAGCACTGTTTCTCTCCTGATTTGCTGCACAGAGCTATGGGAAGAGCAAAATTAAGATTGATCTAGTGGGAGCGGATTTTATTCCATTTCTGTCATCACGGTAAGAACCCACCTAGAATATGCAGAAATGAGCAGGCAGTCCCAAAACTCCAAATAAATTGCTCACTTTCGTAGCTTCAGTCCAAGTTGTTTGTTCTTGGTGAGGTACGGGTGCTGTGTTCCCCTGTGAGCCACCCTTGCTGCGGGTGCAAACTGGGGCTGAGACAGTTCTGCTGTTGACTTCAGCCATGACTGCACCTCAGGAAGGCTCTGGATGGTGTTTTTGAGGGAGGTGAGTGCTTGTTCTGCTGGTCCTCTGACATGGCTGCAAACGAGCCCATGCTGAGCCGAAAAATGTGCAGAGCAAGAGCCTGGGCAGCCTGCACAGCTCGAGGCTAGGCAGGGGGGTTGCAGGTCCCTGTCCTGTTCTGCTGGGGGCATGGCCGGCCACCAGCGTTTGGTTGTGTCAGAGCAGAACTGCCCAGAAAAGGACACACTGCTCATCTAAAAAATGTTGGGGCTGGCTGTGACCTCTCTGCCTTCTCCTCCTCAGGTTCCCGGCCCCTCACCAGCCCCGATGCACTGCCAAGAGAATGAGTACCTGGATGAGCAAGGGAAATGCACCCTCTGCAGAGACTGCATGCCCGGGCAGGAGCTTTCCAAGGTAAATCGGCTACTTTGGAACAATTGCGAATCATTTGGTACCGAGGCTTTTACAGTGCTGGGTGATTTCCCTGCCAGCCTTCCTTTGGAAGGGATAACCCTGGGTCCCGGCACGTTGGGAAGAGCTGGGAATCAGTGGAAAGTGATGGTGAACAGTCTCACTCACCTTGGATAGGAGGATGAGATGATGGGAAGGATTTTAGGGTGCCCTCTTTCCTTTTTGCCAATGGGAATCTAAATTTTCTCCTGGAGTGCTTTGCTGGCAGAGCTTTCCTCCTCCCTAAACATGGCCAGTGAGCCATGTCTTCCCCTGTGCCTGCTCTGGTGACGTCTGATCTCTGATCTGTTCTGAGGGCCGTTTGTATGGCCCTGCCATCCTTTGTCCCCAAAGAAGGGACACTGTTCCCCCCAGTACCCCTTTGGGACCTGAAGCAGCTCGTCACCACAGCCATGCACCCAACATCATGTCTTGCAGGACTGTGGCGATGGTAGCGGAGGGGATGCGCAGTGTGTGGCCTGCCCTCCCAGGAAGTTTAAGGACAGCTGGGGCCATCACGGCTGCAAGCCCTGCCTCTCCTGCACCCTCATCAACCGCATCCAGAAGTCCAACTGCACGGCCACGACCAATGCAGTCTGTGGGGAGTGTCTGCCGGGGTGAGTGGGGCTGGGTCCTGGCTCGAGCAGAGCCACAATGGTCGCAGCTGGGAGCATACTGGGGTGGCGTGGACAGAGGGGGCTTCATCTGAGGCCACCCAGAACGTGGGATGTAAGAGGAGCCTGGTGAGCCAAGTGTCCTTTAGGACACTGCTAACGACATGGAAATCAGACCCATCCGATGGCCCCTTTGTAGCTCCAAAGAAGGCAACCTGAAGGCTCCCAGGAACAAGCAGTGGAAAAGTCCTTCCAGGCCTGAGTGGTTCCTGTGGACACCAGGGTGGCAAAGCACAGGAAGACGAGTGGCCGTAGACCACTACAATCGGTGGTCCCCAGAGAGGAGGAGAGACCGTGCCTCAGGTGATGGGCGTCAGGAGTTGCTGAAATGCAGAACACCCAAGGACTGCAGGCCATGCACTGGCGAGCCATGTGACTCTTCAGAGAGGAACGAGTCAAGGCTCTGGTTTATGAGTCCCTTCCCAGGTGCAGTTGTAGGCTGAGGTGTATCTGTGCCTTCGTGGAGCTGTTAATCACTGTTATCCAGTGCAGCAGACATGGGGGCAGGCTGTTAAGTGATCTTGCTGCTTGGCCAAAGTGGTGATAGACAGGGAAGCGTAGCTGCCGGTACAGCTTTGGGCAGCAATGGAGACAGCTGCACCTTGGGGCAGGGGCAGGAGAGCTCAGGTCTCTCTGGAGCCGGGCTGGTGGGGTGGTCACTGTGGGGCCCAGCGCTGCTGAGACCCTCTGCTCTGTTGACAGGTTTTACCGCAAGGCACGGATCAGCGGGCAGCTGGACTGGGAGTGCATCCCGTGCACGAAGCAGACACCATCCTCTGAGCCTCAGTGTACGTGCAGTCCCTCACGGGGCACGGGGCGAGGTGCTCTGGGGTACAGGGGGTGGTGAGGCCATGGTGGAGTAGGTTCACGGTGCGTGCCAAGTCGTCATGACAGAATCAAAGGCACACGCGTGGATGTGCGCCAGCCTTTCATCGATGCTGCTCCACTGGCCACAGCACAAGCCGTGGTCCCACAGACCTGCTGGAGGGGACACGGTCACTGCTCATGAAGAGGAATGGCTGGGAGGGGGTGGCCCAAGCGTCGGGGTTAGGCTCCAGCGTTTTGTGTGTTTGCAGGTCGGTCCAGAATAAACCTGGTGAAGGTAGCTGTCCCCACCGTGCCGCCACAGGACACGGCCCTTCTTGCACTGACCAGCAGTGCCCTGGTCATCATCGTACTGGTGCTTCTGGCACTCTCCATCATCTACTGCAAGCGGTTTTGGAAGAGCCAGTGCCAGCGAGGTAAGGCAATGCCTGCGGTGCTTCTCCTTCTCCTTTTGCTGTTCACAAATGCCTGTGGCCTCCTCCTCACTGTGTAGACCATTGCCCCTGGCATGGATGCTCTTGCAGCACACAGTAGTGACCTAAATGTCCCTCTGCTCATACAGAATAAACACCTCATCTGCAGGACCCCTCTTGTGCTTTGCCTGCTCAAAGACATGGAGAAGCCTCGCTCCTCCATCCTTAATTAGGAGGAAGATGCCATTCCTCAGTCAGAACTGGCGATCCTCTCTTCCTGTGGTTTCTGGGGTGCAGGCTGAGACTGAGTGACTCTGTGCAAGGCAGAACCGTGGGTCTGGTGAGGGAAGAGGGCAGTAGGTTTTGTGGCTGGGGTTGGGCCACATTGGCATCCAGCAGCGTGCCAGGGA